TCACTCTGAAAGATTATGTTGTGCTAACTCGACTGAGTTCATGTCTAATGGCTGTAAGGAGAGAGAAAAAAGTGTGTCATATTTGAGAGCTCTACATCATCAGTGTGGTTTATTTTTGCTTCCTGACAAAACTGATGTATACTGTCAGACACATGCAGCGCTACTGTGAGCAATAACCTGCACAAAAATAGCAAAACTGATACAATTCAAAACTCATATGTGCATTAATTTCATTTCTACCTTTTTTAATTATTTTTTTTAATTTGTTAAGCTTAAAATATTAGTACAGGTTACATTTCACACCACATCTTCACCACTGGACACCTTTACACATCTTTGAGTAAATCTGATCATCTTCTACTCATCCTGTGTTGTTGCTCTTGCACAGCTACACTACAGACTTTAACACTTTAACATTGCCAAACAAAGTAAAACACATAAAAAGTTATTTAGTGATTTTACTTACATCAATATATTTTTTGAATGTAATTATTCTGTGGGATATTTCACCATTGTTATTATTGTGAATACTTTGGCCTATTTGTGTACTGAATGCCATATGTAGTGGATTTTTAGATAGTTAAACTAACAGACGAAGCTGCTCTCAGCTGCTCTTTTATTCCTAAAAACACAGAAGCCAGTGTTTATTCAATTACCATTATTATGTTGTATTTTTGCTAGCTTTTTATTACAATGCTTTATATGATATACAATGATATGGTACTTGTATAGAATTGTTTTTGGTATGTTTATTAATGTATTGATAATCTGCTTATTAGTTTTAGTCTTAATTTTGTTTGTAATTCATGAGAAAAATGAAGAAGTTAATTAAGAAGTTGCAGAATAGTTTCTGTTATACAGACACAAGAAGTTTTTTTTCTTTTTTGTTTACCACGGACACATCAAAGCTGTGAAAAAAAATTGCCGCAAAGTCTCCTGATACTAAAGCTATTTTATTTCTCCTCTGTATCTTATTTAATTTTTTAAGTACAGTAGTAGTTCATAAGTAGGTTTGTAAGTACAGAATACGATTTCAGCTAATTTTTTCCCACTTAACTAAAATTAATTTTCTTTGCCTCCAGTTTAAATTTTCACTTAATCTTAGTATACTATAATAATCTTATAGCCAACATACCTTCAATCTGTCATGCATATGTGTTCTTACATTGTACTTAGAAAACCTTTTAGTTAATCAACACTGTTATTGTCTACTGAGACTTTTATTATAACATTCTCTAGATATTATTTAATAAACGTGCTGATGTCACTAAATGTCAAATGTTAAATATTATGCATGTAGGCTATTTAAGAGTTGATGTGCAATTTAGCAATGTATATCCTCTTGGTGAGCAATGGTAAACTTATTGGGATAATATTAAACAGATTAGCACATAACGACAACAAAAATAGTACTAATAGTTATTATTATTATTATAATGTCTTAAAGGGATTCATCTTTTTCTTGTGCAAGTAACAAATTCAAATATTCAAGATACTGCTTTTGTAGAGTTTGATCTTTTAAATCCATTTGTACTTTTCTGTGAATCTAGTGCAACCTAGTGGTTACACATGTGTATAACTATCAAACTCCCACAATTCCGCTGGATAGGCTTCCTTTTAAATATTCATTAACATGAATTAGGAGAGAGAAAATGATCCTCCTCAGGTTTTCAAGAGAAGATTAAACCAACCTACCATCGATGATTTCGTCCTTCACTTTGTGCAATTCACGAAACACCTCTTCCAATATTTCCTGTTGAAGCACAAACGGGTAACTCGTAAAACATCAGCAATTGATTGCTTTACCGTGGAAACGAGCTTATACTTTTAACAAAATAGCAAAACATTTTGCTGGGTAATGCTTTCTTTACCTGTTTCATTCTATCGAGGTCTAACGAGTCTGTGTCGCCACCACTCCCCGCAGGTCGTGCTCTGCGTAACACAAAATAATTCTCTGTCACACTAGCTGTTACTGTATTGCTTCACAGTGACAAGCAGCGGGGATTCCCTTTCTCACCTCGACGCCATTGCCCTGTCTGCAGAGTTTGCTCGGTCCCAGGGCTTCTTTGCTCCGTCTAGACGACAAAGGAAAAAGATCAGATAAAAAAACGAGAGAGAAAAAAAGTCATACATGCATTTCTGGATTTATCATTGCTCTGAAATCCCATTTGCTATCAGGATTTTTAAAAACTTGTAATAGTTCTACTATCATGAGAAACGGTGATACCACACCTAAATAAAACCAAAATAGCTCTGTGACAATAAAGTGATGTTAAACATGCTGTAATGATTTGTTAGTATCATGTCGATATCAGCACCGTGTTCAGCACCTTCAGTTCTGAAGGCAAAAGGAGACCAAACCCAGTACTGGTGTAACTAATGAAGTGGTGAGTGTCTATTTAAAAACAAAAAAAACTTAATTCCAAACTTCTGTACATGTTAAAAGTTATTTTTTTTCTTTCTCTTAGAAATGTTTGTGGATCTGCTTCTAATATTTTTACTTTTCCATCCCACACCTTTTTCATGTGTTTCAAACGTGGTTTGCAACTGCGTTTAGTCAAAGGAGCTTGCAAAGAAAAGCGTCTGGACTTCTTTAAGTTGCTTGAAGACGTTTCACCTCTCATCCGAGAAGCTTCTTCACCTAGGCTCAGGCGATTAGAGGATCATCAGGGGGTCCTTTCGTCCCTCTGTGGGGGAACACTCCCACTAGGTTTAAATCTGGGACTCCCCACCATATGACCTTAGAACTGAAGAAGCTTCTCGGATGAGAGGTGAAACGTCTTCAAGCAACTTAACCCTGGAGAACCCATGGGGTCAGATCCGACCCCATTGGTTTACTAGGGAACCCATGGGGTCAAATTTGACCCCATGGGTTCTCCAGGGTTAAAGAAGTCCAAACGCTTTTCTTTGCAAGCTCCTTTGACTACAATGACCTGGATGACTGAGAACCTTCACAGACGTAACTGCGTTTAGTTTTCTCACCCGTTGCGTTCTGTCCACTCCGAGTGCTGGGCGACGGAGAATTTGGGTCATCCTAGAGAAGCACAATGAAATCGGTAAGCATCACTCACAATACCACAAATGCTATTATCCTCGTTAGCGAGCCAGCAGTTTGATGCAGAATATTCTGCAAATATCAGTCTCACCTGTGTGAAACCAGGCTTCTTTAATCTGATTTCCTTGTGATTAATGATTATTACTGAGCTTTTATCATCATTTCTCGATGTTTCCATCACAACACAAATGATAACAATGATCATTATCACCCTTATATAATCAGCATCAACATTATCCTGATCCCCGCCTAAACCGTTACCCTAATTATCACCGTAAATCACAGAGCGAGCAGTGCTCAGCTTCATGAATTGCAAACCATCTCCGTTTCGCACGCACTTACATTTTGGCTGTCCTCGGGCTTCTCTGAAGCTGCTTTCCTTCTGGAGGAAAGAAGAAGCCTCAAGTGAGAAAAAGGAATTTCATTGAAATTCCAGAATGAACTAAACAAAAAACTAAAGATTTCAGTGACCAGTTGTATCTAATATAGCAACAGTATGTGAGAGAAAAAGACCTTCGGCCTGTATTGATCTGACCTTCGTGCCAACAGAGCATTCATCTCCTCCATCAGTCCTCCACTCCCCCCACTTGTTCGGTTAGCTTCATTTTTGGCACCTGAAGAGCTGTCATCAGGCTGAAGAAAGCAGAGGAAAAAAAACGACAACTGTGCGTTACTCCCTGCTCTGTGCAAATCATGAACATTTTAAAGTATGTCAGTCAAATCTGAAGGAGATAATCCAGCTATGATGTTTATATCCTGCATGGTTTACAGAAATTTCACCCAAACATCATAAAGTGTTGCCTCACTCTTTGAACACGGCGTAGTTTGGCTCCAGCAATCATAGCCGCAAGACCTGTCGGCGCAGAGGTCTCATCCCCGTGGCTTCCTCCGCCTAAGGGCAGTGGAGGAGGGAGAGGAGGTTGCGGCGCCCCTGCTGACGGTGGCGGCGGGCCTGGCGGTGGTGGAGGAGGAGGTGGGCCGCCCATGATCACCGGTGGAGGTACTACTGGTGGGGCAACGGAGAGCACAGCAGGATGGCCTTGGAAAGGAGAACCTAGAGGAAAAGTGCAGCGAGTGATTGAAACTCAGTCGCTTTGTGCAATATTTATCCGCACTTACACCTGTGTGGGTTCAGATGCACTTAGGCGAAGATGCGGACCATTTTTAAATTGAATGAAAGAACTATTTTTACCAGCTGAACTTTAGCTGACCTGTGCACTTCGTGGGAGTACCTGAGTTGGAGGACCGTCGCTCCCGCTCCATGTGCGCCTGCATCTGCTGCTGCTGCTCCATCATTTGCCTGCAGAGACAGGAAGGATCACAGCTGCTCACTTAATATCAAAAATGTCAAATCTTGTCCTAAAATCTGACAATTTACCCACCTACAGGAAAAGTTCAGAAAACCATCGCACAGTAATAGACAGAGAAATGTCCACTTGCCTCAAAGATGCGCTAGGATCGCCATTAGGTTTTGATTTCAAATGTTCCATCTGCTTGATCCAATATTTATCAGATATTAAAGCTCCACACGTTCTTTTGGGATATTTCTTCTTAAGTCATAATCATCGTTTGTGTCAGGTAGTTTCTGTCACAGCCCCTGGGTTTGGAGTTTGGTATTCTTCTATAACATTTAGATTATGGGATGGGTTCTACTATAGTTTCTTTTTTTAAAATTTATTTATAGTTTAGTTTCATGTTTGTTTCATTATCATTCCAGGATTTTGAGTTCCTATTAAGTTTTGTATTCTCATCTACATAATATGCATTTTCTTGTTGGTTTCTATATGATGATGTTTAGTTTTTAAGGATACTTGGTGTTTAGCTATTGTTAAACTGGAAAGGTAGTTTCTGTTAGCGTTTAGAGTTTGTTGCTTATATCTGATTCCCTATATTTTGGTTTATTTCTCCCACCACCCCCAGTATTGCTGTGTGTGTGTGTGTGTGTGTGTATGAGTTAGTTAGTGGCTCAGTATTTAGTTAGTTTCTTCCTGGTTTACTTTGTTAGTTTGTGTCTCTTTTACTTCTCATGTGTAATTACCTTGATTGGTTCCAGCCGTGTCTCATTAACCTGATGTGTCCGCTTCCCATGATTACATAATGTGTGTATAAATAGTCCTTCCCTGCCATTGAGTCTTTGTTAGTGTCTGTCTGTTTTCATTTGGTAACTCTGGGCATAGGAAACAGTGCGTGGCCCAGGCGAGCTCTTTGGAATCACATCGGAAATGAGGCAAAACGACACAAAAAATAGTGTAATTATTTGAAACATGTTTTTCTTTGGAGTTTTAACTAAAAGTCACTACCTTAATTGCTGTTGTTTAGTATAAAGTCTAATGAGACCACTGTACAAACTGCACTCAAGCTCTAGCAGATGGTGAGTTTTTCTCGCATGCTGTCACCGTGAGTCAGAGGTTTGAATTCACATCCCAACATGGTAACACTTAACAAAGATGGACACAAAAACCTGCTTGCTTACTAAAAAAATCGACTCAGAAATACCCGATTTCACAAATAATCCCCCAATAACTTAATTGCTCTGCACTTTCCAGAGGAACAAATGAATTAGTACTAAGCATTCACTTTACTTGAGGTAATAGCGAGGTAATGAGGATCCACTGAGATCTGCTTAATAAGACACATGAATGGCTTTGTATTAGTTATTAATTAATGACTCATAAAGAAAGTGAAGAGCTATATTATATTGACAGATAATTATTAAATAATTATTACCCAATGAGCCAGAATTATCTCTCAGCTGGGTCTTTAATAAATAATCATCTACTGTACAGCCCTTGATTAGGGCTAATTATGAAGGTGCTGATGAATGCCTCCTGAACTATCAGATCATTCCTGATTTGTTCTTCACCTGCGTTTTAGTAAGTAAACAAGTTTTTGTGTCTTATATCATGCAGTGTGCCCATCTCCTGCTCCTCATTCATCCAAGCCAACATCACTTTTCTCCTCGATCTTTATCCCACCTATCTCATTACATCTCTGTCTTTGATTTGAGGAGATATGCGATGTGACATCTGAGGCAGCAACCTGTCTGATGTGACAGCAGCGTGCGCACAGCAGGAGCAGAGGTGCTTAGTAAACAACGGTTCTCTGAAATTAATTTGCTTCCGCTGACCAGGACGCAAACGCACGCAATCTCCCCTCACAATCGCAAACATAATCCTTTGTGGCAGAGGAACAGTTCATCCGACATGGGGATCAGACAGAGCCATAATTCCCTTCATATTTGTTCTCTTAAGTACTGGCATTCGGCATTTAGATGAACCAGCAGGCGGAGCTGAAATAAGTTTAAAAACAGCAACAAAGACCTCGTTGTGTCCGAGTCCGTCTCTGAAGTGGAGAGAGGAACAGCAGGCGCAGTGGAAGAAATGCAAGCCACAGTGTAAACCGTGGAAATGGCCTTAAGGGTCATTCTGAATACTGCTTATCCACTACTTTGTATAATTTAATCTGCCACTATGATTTAGAAAACAGGGACTACTTGTGTTTTAGCCATTACTGTAAAACTTTCAGTCTTTATCATTGTGACCCACTGGAAGGTAGGAGGGATACAGAGGACAGTAAGAGGAGGGGAGGGATGAGTTTTGCTTCAGTTCACAAGAGACTGTGATCCTTCACTAAAAATATTCTTCTCATGGATGACAAGATACTAATTTTCTCCCACTTTTTTGGCACCACAGTTCATTCAGATCATTTTTCTGATTGCAAAAGCTGCCAGACAAGGTGGGCTTAAAAATAAACAAATAAATAATCTGCTAACAGGGGTTCATGTTACATAGACTGCCTTGCAAAGAAGGAGAAAACGTCTTTTTTAAATGATACCTTGCTCTCTGAGCTTCTATCTCATCTGAAGTCGGTCCATTCTGGACTTGGCGCTGGAGAGCTGGACCTAAAGATGCAAATGAAAACAGAAAGAAAGAAAAAGACACAGATAGAGTGAAGTTGACCTTAATGTTTCATTATCAGCACTATTATGTCCGTTAAAATTAGTGCCAGTCAAGATAATTAACTATAAAATCACAAGGAACGTAACAGCGGCTGATCATTATGTTGTCTCATTTCCATAATAAGTAATGCGCAGTGAAAAGCATGATAATCCCCGACTTCATGTAAATGAGCTTAAACTCATTCATGCACTTTTACTGTTGAAGGGGAGCAGAAGATGTCCTGCTGCAACGCTGTCCTTCTGTTTACTCCTGCGCTCTTTTAGAGACAAGTCATTTGATTCGTAATGCTGCAGTGAGGCGACATCTGAGAGCGGCCTTCTCTTAAATTTTTAAATTCACACAAATGTCAATATGAGCACAAACACATGCAAGCGCACAAACAAATGTCAGCCAGAGCCCCACGAGTACTTCTGGGGTGAAATACAACTTGCCGACGGGTTTATGAATCACCAAAACTAGAAACAGAGCGGCTGAGCGAGGTCTGGAGAGTGTCTGAGCTGCTCTTTCTAAACAGATGAACCTAATTGAGAACAGAAGAAATTCTGTCAGCTGTGGTTACAAACTCAGTAAAAACAAACCATTGTGGCATCTCCTTTGGTGGATGAGGCTCAAAATCAAATATACTGTATGCGAGAGTCATTATTGTCTGAGCTACAAGGCTTTTGGTATCTAATCCTTTTACTACCATAAGTGAGATCTGCAGATAGAGCAAGAAAGGAAATGCAATTAATTGAACACATGATAAGACTTCAACTTGGGGTTTACAATTAAATCAGATGTCAATGTCAAGGATGTTCTCATGACTGAATTCCTCTGGATTAAGGAAGTAAGTAAGGAGGAATCTTGTGGTGTTTTTTTGGTTACGTTTTGGTTGATTTATGATCACTTCCCTTTAAATCTAATCAAGAGTTGTAAAAGTGTTTGAAATAGGCATAAAACTCTATAGACCATGTTCCCTTTTGTCTACATAAAGATGTCCCTTACATAACAGTTTTATGGCTCTACATAGTCAGCCTGTTTTCAGGGTCACTGCTCACTGACGATTCTCTCCACTGCTCACATCTCTAATGGAATAGACTCTGGCTGATGGTGCTAATGGCTGCTATTGATCAAGTAACAGAAACCCAAAAATACAACGATGGCAAAAGCCCTGAGTCATGGCTGCTATCAGACACCCGTCCTACACACATGCATGGTGTTTGATCTTAGATCCTAATGTTATATTTTTAGAATCCAGGTTTTGTCCAGAACAGGTTTAGACCCAACAAAATTTAATTTACTAATAAATGCTTGTGCATGCTTGGCCTGTTTGTGGTGTTGCATGTGAAATTAAAATGCATTTTTATCACGTGTCATATAAACAAACAATGTAAACAATTTTAGCCCAATGCTAAGTGGCTGATGGGCAACCTGACGGCATCATAATATATACCTGAAGTTTTAAAGCTATAAGTGAGATGTTACTGTAATGATATAAAAATCATATGGTGCTTCTATAATGTGTTACAGGTTCATAAATGCTAAAAACAGGTTATTTTAGCTGACTGCTATGTAGTTGCTAGGCAACATGAAGACATCACATCTGATGTAGATAAGAACCTTCAGGGAAGGAGCTGGCAGACAACCAAACCAGCACACAGACAGAGCTTTATGTGTATTATAGTGACCTGCTGAACTCCTTTCGATGTCCTCTAAAGGAGAGGCCAGCTGCCCTTCAGATACAGTTCATTTCCGCGATCTCGTTCTTTGGTCACTACCCAGAGTTCATGACCATAGGTAAGGGTAGGGACGTAGATCAATATGTAAATCGAGAGCTTTGGACCTTTACAGCATTGAATTGAACTGAACTGAACCTCAAACCAGCAGTTTTTGATTGACAAATTAATGACTTAAGCAACAAAACTGGTGTTGACTGCTGGTTAGACTCCAGCAAGAGACCCAAATCCGCTATGGGGTTGCTTCAGGAAGGCGTACAACTCTGCCAAACCAAACACAAGGAGCTACCTCGTAGCTCCAGCTACGGTGTGGGGACCTTTTGTAAAAAGCAAGCAGCTGAAAGGAACTTCTTCATAAATTGGTGTATTACAGGACACGTGCACAATTCACAAAAATGTTGCTTTAACATCTTTTTGTTTTAACCTATGCGTCACGGCGGGGTGAATATTTTACAAAGGACCCCAGAGCAGATAGGAGACGGAACACAAACCAAAAGCGAGCCTTTAACATTAAGGTAAAAACAGAAACGACTATTAAACTGAGAACAGGATATGACAACTATGAAAAACCTGTGAACCCTACGACGAGACTATGGTGTGGCATAATAGATGACCTGACAATAAGTGAACAGAAACACACAGACTAAATACACACAAGGGGTAATCAGGGGGAGTGGAAACACATGAGGAAACAGCTGGCACAAATAAACCTAATAACGTCACAGGGAACGCGAACCTAAACACAATGACAAAGACACACCAGACTCTTTCAAAATAAAGCAGGAAACACCGAGAATAAAGAATAAAACTAAAATACATTAAAAAAACTGGGTCGCAGGCCCAGTGCCATGACACAATCACTGCAAAAGTAAAATGTTGATTTCAGAATGTATTGAAGAGGACTCAAAAGAGATGTTTAGTTGGATTTATTTCTACTAGATGAGTGAGTAACAGAGCCTGCCAAGTTCAATTCAATTCAATTTTATTTATACAGCAGCAAATCACGACAACAGTTGCCTTAATGTGCTTTATATTGTAACGCAAAGACCCTACATACAGAAAAAACCCAACAATCAGACAACACCCTATGAGCAAGCACTTGGTGACAGTGGGAAGGAAAACCCCCTTTTAACAGGAAGAAACCTCCAGCAGAACCAGGTTTAGGGAGGGGTTACTAACACAAAAGCTATTCTCCATGTTTGAAAAAGGCCACGCTCTACAACAGAGTATTGCACTGCTTTAACTGGTTTAAATATTCCAATATATGTTCCATTTGAGTTTGTTTACCTTATTCAGCTAATGATTCCTGACTGACTCTGCCATTTACTGGATTATAATAACACAATAATAGCCATTAACACACAAAAACTACACACACAAACTCAAAATCAGAATTGTCATGCAGATGTTTGCACACACAGTTTTTTTTACCTACACGACATGCTGAAGAAGAGAAACCGGCTGCAGCAAACACAGAGGCACTGACAGACCCACTCCCTCCTAACCATCTCTTGCCTTCAGCTCCTCTTCCTCTCCCTCCTCCTTTTCTTCTCCATTCATCATCTCCCTCACTATCCCTCTCTCTCTCACACACCTCACCTGCCTGCCTTTCCCTCCTCCTCCCATCCTACCTCACCAACAGTATCATCTGTCATCTTCTTGAAACTAACACCAGGAGCGGCAGCAGCACAGCGAGAATATCCGCTTAATGTTTCAAAAGGTCGACTTTGTCTCTAGGCTACACAGCCTAGTGCTGCTTAGCCACACAAATATTACAGCGAGATGATCCACGTGCACTCCAGGTTTACATCAAGGCTCAAACATGTGGGGGGCGGGGATAAAGAGTTACTAAGTAACAAAAGTGTTTTTTTTGTCACATAAGTAACAAAAGTTTATTCTTTAGTTGGTGTTTGGGTGTCATGTGACAAGATAGCAAATGGCCGGTGCTCTAATAAGCTCCAGAACAACAACAGTGCCAGTGCCCTCTGTAAGCAGTTGCGTCCCCACATGCCACCAGAACATCGTCAGCACTTCCCAGCATTGATTTGCTAAGTCTCTGAAGGTATAGTGGATGAGTGCAAAACCATCCTCCAGTGATTCCCTTTAATCAATACTTGATCAATCAATAGTTTCATATCATACAAGGATTTCTCTGGTGGGCCTGAGAGGTCAGTGACCCCCAAAGTTTACAGTGTTAATGCAGGTGTTCAGTTGGGTGGCTGGATGCTGACCACAGCATATGACTCGCATCCTTTTCTGTATGTATTCCTGGAATAGACTACTCCTATCATAAATGGATCATACAGTTATCCATTTATGGTATAATAATTTAAAGGGATTCGAGAGTTTAAATATTCCCTTTATCTTGTCACCTGTCAGGTCTTACATGTAGGTCTTAAAAATGGCTTATTTTGGCTAATACCATTTTATGAAATGTTAAACAATCATATTTTTGTTTTATTCCATTAATGACTTATCTTACTTCCAAAATATGAGTTCATTTGGCACTTTTGGTTATCACTTTTACACAGTGATCACTTTTTACAAGTGACAGGTTACATCTTTCTGTAAAACCCAGAGAAAATAGGCCTGCAAAGCAATAAGAATAAACAGTGCTCGGCTGTTTCATATGTTCCTTTTTGATCCTCTCCTCAGTTTTATATCCTACATCATGTAATATTTCCTCTCTAAAAGTGAAAGCAATTTTAAGGACAAAAGGTCAGGTTTTGACTTCCTTACCACTAGAGGGTGTTAGGCACAAGCAAGGAACACCCATGTTCTGGTTTCAGCTTTACAAAGTGTGAACGTGTCTTATGTAATCAGCTGGAGAGCATGGATATGCAAAAATCAGGTCCTGTGCCATGCTGAGAAATAAAAATAGGAAACAACATACCGGAATAAACTAATTTCCTAATTCTCCCCCTTGATCACGCACTTGTGCGTAAATATAAAAGTTGATCTGTGCGTGTTATGATACGACCTTTGTGAGCGCTGTATCATGGCAAGCTGCTAGCACTGAGATGCTATCAGTCTCTCTATCTGTCAGATGTGCACATCCTTCCCCAACGTGTTTGTGCACTTGCGTTTGGCTGCTGTCACTCGAGCCTCTTTGTTCCCCATCCCATGTTATTAGGCAGATGAAAAGATCTGCTCTCTAGAACGGGGCCCGAGGGAGATCTTCTCAATGACTCACTCTAATTAAGAGGCTGGAGGGGACTGGAGGGGGAAGCACGCCGCCGCCGCTGCTGCTGCTGGAGTAATAACTGGCAAGCTGTGACAGTCACTCTGCCTCTCAGTCGCTCCTCAGTTTACATTTGTCTGTCTCTCTTCTCACACACATATACACAGAACTCTGGAGGATTGAGGTTGCCTGTCTTGTATGTATACTCGCTGCTGAAGTCTTTAAATAGAACCTTTTGCAGACGTTTTGGCTTACAGCAGGAAAAACACAGATGGAACCAATAACACTGACGACAGCTCTGTTTCCACTGATGTGTCCCAGCAAGCCCTGGTGGGGATCACAATGAAATGCAGCTTATATTAATTAAATAATTACATTTGTGTCTGTCTGCATGTCAGATAGCTCTATCTTTGATCTATAATAGATTAAAGAATTAATCTTATTGCTAAGCCCCCAGTGAAGTGATGTCATGACAGATTGATGTGATGATGTCAGAGTCTCTATTGCCCCTTGAAAGACACTGAGAAAGTTTTCAGTGTGACAAATATTTTATCAATCCTCCAAGTGACTAATTTAGGCTCAGCCCTGAAGACTCTGCATCCAGATGAACAGAGTCAACCTTCTGTGATATCTAGACAACTTCAAGTATGGCTACTATTTTTAGATCACTTCCCGCAGGAAACCTTTCCTGCCTCTTCTGTAATTTCAGTCTCAGACCTGCACATCTTTTATTTCAGCTTGACTGAACTGTCCGTTGCTGAGTCTACGGTTGTTAGGTCTGTGCTATATCGCATTCTCAGCAAATGATACAGGTGGAAATTTCTATGTGAAATAAAAATATACTGCAATATCCGAAGTGCCGAAGTGTATCTGAGAACTCGAATGACAATTTATTACATAAAAGGGAGCTACTTCAACAACTTCCAATGAATCGCAGTGCTCTGCAAAATATTTCAGGGAAATCTGTTAAAGATGGAAATGGAAAGAGTGTTTCAGCACACGAGGCAAAAACACCCTGAATGCAAGGAGGGTACAAAGGAGGAGATAATTGGAACAGCTGATGATATGTGACCATGTGAATACAGGGTCAGTATTGCCAATACCGATACTAATACTTTCAACCTATAAAGGCAGCTTATATAAGAGGAAAGCAGCTTCTCATTTAATGACCACTAAATCAGCGTGACTTTTAATTTTAAAAATAATTAGCTAACACAACAAAACACACCTTTGAACTTTTAACGTATTTTGAAACTGGGTTTGTAGGAGACCTGGAATCACTTCGGACCAGTTTCTGTTGTTTAAATGTGCTTTAGGCAATAAATAAAAGTGAATACAAAAAGGGGGCATGTTTGAGGTATATTTTTTAATTTCATGAAAAAACAATTTATTTAACACAGTTGAGTGGGCTACATACTGAACTTAGAGGATAGATACAAAGTATCTATCCTCTAAGTTTCTGGTATCGATCTGATACCAGCATTAGTATCGATACTATCGATATTTGGATTGATCCGTCCACCTCTAGTTGGACCCAAATGTAAGCAAATGATCCCATCAAGCAAAGCTGGAGGCCTTACTAGCTGAACTCCAAACAACAGGAGGAGCAAACAATGGGTGGAATACGTGATAGAAAAGCAAGGCGTGGCAGTAAAGACCACACTTCAATGCTTTTCAGCATACTCCTTTCTTTATTCTCAGTTGCTTGTTTCTTACGGTTCCCGGCTGCAGCTTTTCAGTTCGCAGCCACATGTAATGGAAAAACATTCAGGACCCATTTCATTCTTATATGCAGGGGAGGCGTGACGAGCTGATGCACCTCAGGTGTGTCAGCCTCCACCTCAGCCGCGCCACAAACCACGCCTGCCAATCACATAAAATCAGGAAATGTGCAGCAACTTAGTGAAAAAGTTGCTCTTTTTAAAATTACAACAAACATCAATAAAGCATTCAGTATTTTTTTTTCCTATATCTTCTGAAATGTCACACATTTTCTTGAAATATTGTGATATGACTTTGCCACTATATCGCCCACTCTTATGGGCTATGATCCAGCAGCTTTCAGCAGTTAAGCAGCCCACTGCCCACAGCTACACTCTGAATTTTGCTTGACACTAATTTGCACCACACTATCACTCTACACGTGTACATAAAGAATGTAAGGGGGTGGTTATCATCTCTGCTGGTTGATGGAAAGTTCAGGGAGAGCTAATCTCACATACCCATGATGACCTGACATTTGAACCCATTTTAACCATTGCCCGCCGTGTTAAGTCACACATGTTCAGCCCTGTTTTGTGAATTAAAAGTGCCGAGTGCTTATCTGAGAGAAATAAAGTGGAGCTAACTGTCGTGTAATAAAATGAAATAAGAAGACATCCTCCATTTCTCAAGTGTGTGTGCATGTGTGCGTCTTGTACTGTGGGAAAACGCACCTCCATCCTGAGCACTGAGGACATTGAGGGCAAAGAGCATAGCATTGGAAAAGGTGGTGGCCTCCTCCTTGCTGGCGAAGTTGAGGCCATAGACCTGCCTGGCGTCCCTCCACTGGTGGAAGGTTGGTGTGGCCTGGTTGTACTTGAGACCCTTCACTATTGAGTAGTTGATGACCACCTTTGAAGGACAAGAGGAGAATGCAGGAAAGGCAGTCATCAGTTAGGAAAAGTATTTCGCTTTTATCGGAGAGTTTTTATTTTTCAAGGTTATTTCTCTTTTTTTTTTTTTTAAATCTGAAAAATGATTTAAATCCACAGATGGCAGCGCGCCCATAGACATACAACACGGTCATGACTTGCATTGTTTGGAAGGATTTGTGGATTCTGAGTGCGCCACTATAAAGATAAAACATTTTTGTGTCTGAGAGCAGCACAGCTTGTAATAGTCATTGTGTTTCTCATTTTTATGTTGCTTACATCACGAGCTGTAACTTAGAAGAAACACAGCTGTGAAAAAATGCTGTCGTTTATATCTTGTTTTTCCACAGCTACCCACTGACATCTACTTAACTCTTTGAACTCTGGGCAATTCTTTTGAGTTTAATTCCAAAATTCACAGTAACATCTGAAGAGAAGACATCTGTATCGTGTTCTCTTTAATACTTAGTCCCTGCTGTGTGATTTTATATCCAACTGAGTGAGTTTATTCGATTACGTTTTATTTCTATAGTGCCAAATCACAGCGACAACTGCCTTAAGGCACTTTATATTGTAAAGTCTCGACCCTAAAAAAATACAAAGAAAATAAAGAAAACCCCAACTATCATATGACCCCCAATGAGCACGTGCTTTGGCAACAGTGGAAAAGAAAAACTCCCTTTTAACAGGAAGAAACCTCCAGCAGAACCAGGCTCAGGGAGGGGCAGCCAGTTGGGAGCGTGGGGAAGAATACGGCACAAAGACGTGCTGTGGAAGAGAGCCAGAGATTAATAATAACTAATAATTAAATGCAGAGAGGTGTATAAACACACAGTGAGGGAAAAAGGTGTATTGTTTGTCGTGTTATTTCCTGTTTTATTTTGCAGGTTCTTTCTTCAGGTGTTTTTATTTCCTTCACTAGTTTGTCATCTTAATTTGCTTCATTCAGCTCAAAACAGTGACCACTCTGGTCTGACCTGCGGCATCAGCAACACATTTCACCCAGAGAACCGCCATTTTTTTTTTCCTCTTTCCTCTTCCTGATCATTCACTGTGAACTAGAGATAATTGTGCGGGAAAGTCAGAGTAAATCAGCCGTTTCTGAAATACACAGACCAGCCCATCTGGCACCAATAGCCATGTCATGTTCAGAATCACTTAAATCACCTTTCGCCACCATTATGTTGCACACTGATTCAGTTTGAACGTCAGCAGTCAAAGTCTTAGTGTCTTAATGCAATCAGCTGTCTGGCGTAGGTTCTGTTAGTTAACCTTTTTTTTAAATGAGTTGTTTAATATTTAACTTTTGAAATGATACTTGATAGCCCTGCAAAAGCCTGACAACCTGTCCAGGGTATACCCCAGCCTCTCGTCCTACGGCAGCTGGTTTAGGCTCCAATCCTCCAGATTCCACCACCCCCCAAAAAAGACAAAGTTATCCCGTTGGCTATTTAATCTCCATTTTCATTTTCTGAATCTTTGTAGGTTTTCTGCCACTTTCAGACATCTTTGTAGTTGTCAGTTTTTGATTACTGCTGTGCTTGATAACCCCACTGTTTACATGTGTTCCGAGTCTTATCGCCAAACATGTCTACGGCGGTGCAAAAGAGCCGAGTGCTAATGAGCTGTTGCCGTTGGAGAGGCTGACAGACGGTGAAGAAGATTTCACTCAAGTCACAGCGGAGGCGGGTGAGCTTTAAGATTTCACGAGGTTTGAAGCACGCACACACACAGACTTTGACTGAAGAAATTTTTAAGACTTCATTGGTTCTCCGCTGTTCTCACTCTCCTTCAGTATAGTCAAGTCACAATCCAGACTATTTGCAATCCTCCCACAGCAACAAGTTTACCTCCAGCATCTGCACTTCTTACCTGCTGGTCCTGCAGTTTGACTCCCACCACTCTGAAGGTATTGTTGGCAGTGTTGTGGTAGATGTTGATGCGGCTGAATCCCTGCTGGCCAGGCTTGATGGGCACCCACTTCTTGCTGGTGTCATCGTAGACCATGACAGAGGCCCGCGCCTGGCAGATACTCTGCTCACTGGAGGAGACATTAAAACAAAGAAGAGAGAAACAGGGTGAGTTGGTCATATGTGGGGAGCAGAGAGTTTATCAGCTCCAGAGTTAATCCCAAAGCAGCTTCGCCCCTCTTTCTCTTCTTTCTAGTTTGTGGTGTCAATGCTTTAGCTTGTGACTGGACGTAGACATTTCCCTTCTTAACCCCTCTAGTCTAGATATCAGAAACCACTAAAAATCAGAGCAAAAACATCTATCACAAACTGCCACCATCAGACAGAGACGTTATAAAACAATAACTAGAAGTAATTGATGTGTGCAACATCCTCAATCACATCCAAAAACCGGCAATAAATATTATATATACACACCCATAAAATAATTCATTCTGTAATAAACGTGTAATAAAAACACTCTTGCCTTTTTTCTGAACATATTTTTCACATTATGTGATTACTTGTTTAGATGTGCAACATAATAAGTTTCTCCAGTAAGAAACTCGATGATGACACTGTAACAAATAATGTGTCCACATCACATGTTTAGGCTTCAGCTCTATAGTCGACAAAGGACAGCATTGCACACGAGCACATTGAAAAATATTTCTGCGTTAATGATATGAATGAAATCCATTATATGAATGGATTTGTCCTGAGGAAATAAATTCAAGAGGCTTTATGTTTCATTAGTCACAAGCAAAAAAAATTGAACCACTGATTTAGACAGCGGCTGAGTCTTTATCATGTAAAACACTCAGTGGGTCAGGAGGGTGAAAATGTTGTCAGCGCAGGAAGAAGAAAGTCATTTTCAAGCAATTTGGACGTCTAATGTCAAACTTTCCTTTAACTGTAAAATCGGAGGATTTAAGTGAGATAATTATGGTGAACAAGACAACAACTCTGTCTTCTAATCCTGCATTTCACTAATGGTCTAATCCAAATGTAATCAAGCACTAGTCCAGCATCTGCCCATGTTCTTAATGAGGCAGGACTGTAATACGTGTGTGTGTGTGTGTGTCTGTGTGTGTGTGTGTGTGTGTGTGTGTGTGTGTGTGTGTGTGTGTGTGTGGCCTCCAGTGTTAGGTTGGGTTTGCCTGCTCTCCTATCTGATCGTGTTATCACAGGCCCCTAGGTCGTCCTTCTTTCCCTCTTTTCCTCAAACACACCACACACAACATCACACACACACACACACACACACACACACACACACACACACACACACACACACACACACACACACCACCCAACACAAGCTCAAACACACACACACACACACATGCACACACACACATGCACACTGTAAATAGCACTGAGCGTGATGATGCACTGTTTACGATCATTTCCAGGTCACGTGCTCCGTATCTGCACAATATCAATCAAGGTGCCGGTAAAAGGCGATAAATGGAAAAACTCAGGAGAGAAACAGAAACAATTTAGACTTGCAAATGAGATTAACAAGAAGAGTCCCATCTGTGTCTTTGCCTCCTCGCCAAGCTAAAATTAGTGGATCAGGCCTTAAGGCCCTTGTGAAAGAGCTGCATCAGAAAAGAGGAGCAGTGGAGAAAAGAGGGAAAAGTCTTGGCTTTTAGAGTGTGTGAGTGGAGGCAGCATATGGTGCAGATAAGCGTGTATCATACATGATGGTGGGGGAAATGCTGATGGGATATTATATGAAGGAATAGGCTGACATTTGGCTTATTTGCCCTGTTGATAATAGATGAGACGATAGATTATCTCAAGTCTAAGTGCAGCGTTGCAGCCTGGAGGTTATTATAACAGCTTAGCATAAAGACAGATATTAAACAGTTTAGAAAAAAATTACAGTTACATTATGGCTATAGCAAAAATTCAGTGGGATTTTTCAGTGGGAGAAATGTTTTGTCACTCATTCAAATGGATTTTTCAGACAATGACCAGATCTCATACCACAGGGGAAGCTACACCAAGTCTGTATGGTTTACCGAAGATACATAAACAGGGTGCACCTTTAAGACCATTTGTCTCTACGATCAACTCAGTTACCTATAACACCTCAAAGTTTCTGGCTTCGATCCTCAACCTGTTGGTAGGCAGCTCTGAACACCACATCCACAACACTTTGGATTTTGTTGAGAAGATGAGAGATGCAATTATGGAGGAAACAATGGTCTCATATTATGTTACATCTATCTTTACTTGTGTTCCAGTCGCTGAAGCAGTGAAGGTAGTTCATAAGAGATTACAGGACGAACCCAACCTCAACAATAGACCAATCTCACTGACAACACTGACCAAGTGTTATTTGACTTATTTCACATAAAAGTGTGAGTACTACAGGTAGAAACATATGTTTGCCATGTGTTTATAAGATTGGGGAAACCTACAGTCAGCTGAGACTGAAGTAGTCACTTGGATGAGCGACAAAACATTTCTCCCACTAAAAACGCTACATCCAGATGATCAGAATCAACTTTTGGGAATGTGCTGCATTACTTTTAAGAAAAGTGTTCTGTGTAATATGTGCAATAATTACTTTTTTGTGTAATGACCCCGTCACTAATCACAACAAAGAGAGGAAACCAACAAAATTCACAAACATTTGAACACTCAGCATGAAATTAATTTGCATGAATGTAACGTCTTTGATACGCTGCTTAGAGATGGTGGTGACTCTAAAAGTGGAGCCAATGAGAATCGATAATGGAATCAGAATCGTTAAATCCTTATCAATTCCACCCTAGTGGCCACGCTTTCCTTGATGAGGATGTGCATATCCTGGAATGGGAGGAACACTGTTTTGGAGTCAGGGAAAAATTTAAAAGGGAAAGACCATCTCTGAATCAAGGCTACATCTTTCACCATCTTACAATGCTGTGATTGCAGCCATTCCCCAACTCTCTGAATCGCCATTGATCAATAATCATGAAAATTTGCATATTTATGATAAAGAAACTGAACTCACAGCCCATTGTTAGTAGTGCTGGTTTCAGTCATTATGCAGATGTACTGTTTATAAGATTGGGGAAACCTGCAGTCAGCTATGACTGAAGCCTTCCTTTCAAGGGGGGCAGCCAATCAGAGAAGAAGATGGCTTAAAGTGGCTTGTTTCAAATATGAGTGTCGTAGGTGGTTTTTGAAGAATTTGTTACCTGTGTTTCCTACATAAAGGTTACCTGGGCAGGGACTAACCTGACCACAGTCTGATGGGCTAAACAGACAATTTTCCAAATAATCGATAATAACAGTAGCAGCATGTATGAATTGTAAATTGGCAATTTTTGATTTGTGTTCTTAACAAATCCAATGAACACAGCCTGGTACTCCCCCTTCCTTACTGAAGCTAACTGAAGACGATATCCCCACATGTAAATTACCAGATGCCGCATCACCTGTCACTGGACGGACAGCCTGCCAGCAGCACACTCTGCAAACGCGAGGTTCCCCGCCATCCACAGTCTTTAATTCTTTTTTGAGCAGAACAAAATATTGATAAGCCATCAAACAGTGTCAAACAGCAAGTTTGTTTGTTGTTTTGGGGTTTTTGTGAGTCACCAGTCACCGCCGTAGTATCCCTCACTTAAACCCTCAGGATAAGGGATGCTCGTTGCGAGACAATGTGCCTGACTCGAACAAAAAAACAGCATCAAAGAGCAAACACTTTGATCCAGTAAAGAGAAAAGTATCTGTGAAAATAAAAGCACCAGGATAACACTGGAATAACGGAAACAATACCAACTCTTCTCCTTACTTCAAAGTGACAGAGCGAGGCAGTGGGAAGAAACTAAAAACTTGCAGGACTAGAATCTATTCAAACAAGATGAAGACCAAGACTTCAAAGACCATTCACACCCTGCTCTGCTGCCCGTGTTTTAATGACGTTCTCTCAGGTTAAAGCTTGTTATCCACACCAATGCTGTCTTGCATTTTGGTGCACGCTTGAATTCAGCACCGGACCCAGCAGGACAATGACGTGTTGAATTTATTTCGGTTAACTCGACTGACTTCTGTTAATTTTTAAAAAGGAGTGCTCGGCTGCCAGCTGAAAATGGCATCAAGGGCCCAGAAGCATGAATAAATGAGGCTCTTGAGCTAAAGGAGGCTTGAGCAGAAAAGCGGAAGAGACGGGGAGAAGAGGATGGAGTGGGTGACATGAAAACAAGTTTTTCCTGACTGACACACACACACTTGCACACATTACACCTGCGCATGCGCACAACTGCAGGAATGTCATGAATAAATAAGATGCTTCTGAATTTACCTTGACAGCACACACTCATGCACACGCGTGCACTCGAAATGCCATCGTCCTGGGTCTGAATGCACCCAGCCAGAGCTACGGCAAATTCAAGCTGACAGGGACAGACAGAGAAATCTCGGAGAGCTGCTCGGGAATCCTGTCCTTCTGTCGCTTCCACAGAAATGGTGCAATTTGCAGAGCACAGTGATTGGTGTATGGGGATTATATACAAGTGCAAAGGGCGCTCACTCATTTCAGCCTTGCCTCTGCGTACAAAGATGATTTTCTTTAGCGTTATAACAGCTCTGGCCGGGCTCTGAAGCTGAAGCTGTAAACAGGCCAAGGTCAGAAATGCTTTCACCCCTCAGTGACTTTGAGTAATGTAACCTTGACAATGATGACTGCACCCATAGGCGACAGGATGCAACATAAACACTGACAGCGACCGGCTCTGGTGCATTATTGCTGCATCTTTTCTCCCAGAATCCTCTGATGCTGAACTCAAACGAGGCATGCAGCAGAAAGAGTCCCAATCTTTACGCACAGCAGAAATCTGAATGATGTAACCCTGATAGTCTAAATGACTTTAACATAAAATTGCATCACAGAAACTATAAAGTTAGCTTTTGCGCATGCTTTTTTGGGATCGAGTTAATAAGTCATCTTGAGTGTCTAAGGTCAGATTAATGAGTGTGTGATGATAAACACATGAATTATTCATTCATGCTGCTGAATGTTTGCAGGAGTGAAGACTAATTATGCCCCAGAAACACCCGTGTATGCCTCCTATTTATTTTCTTCTCTTAA